TCATAGTCAGCTCTTTTTTATTTAATTGTTTCTGTTATGTTTTCAACATCACTGCTTTGGTTTCTTACTATTAATACGAAGGACAATTTCACAATCTTTAAGTAAAAGTAAAATCTTTAAGCAAAGTTAGTCATATTTGTCCAAAATTCAGTTTGTACTCAAACAGACAGCTAGAGGAATAGTAAGAAGAGAGCATTTTTAAATAAAAAGATCATTTTGAAAGATACACATAAAGGATTAGTCTTACTCAGAAAAACTATAACAGTACTTCAATGGTGTACAGCTTTTGAATGCTATTTAAAAAAATGAAATGGTTGATTGGTTCTTTTTTTTTTCTTAGTTATTTCTGCCACTGTAAAATTGTCATGTTTCATTGTATTTAGATGTATTCATGACTAAGCAAATCTGATATTATTTAATAAGATCATAAACTCATAGTCTGCAAGAGGGAGGAATGTGAGAATTTGCTGGGAAACAAGGTTCATGAATACCAGAACATTACATTTGTAGCGTTTACAATTACTATGCTTTTCATTTAGCCTTTTATTATAAACTAAGTAAATAGATACATTCTGCATGCAAGGTCTTTACTATATCTAGCATGCAGAAGTGTGAGTCATGTGAAACTCGATGAACAGGAACTTCACAGCAGCACGTGCATTTTTTGTTTTTATTCATCATCACACACCCATAGAGGCGAATATACCAATACTGCCCCAATAATAAGTTACATTTAAATAAAAGACAGAATTAATTTCATGTGTTACATTTAAAAACCTATAAGGTTACAAAGATTATGTTTTAAACTTCCTTAAAATACCTGATAATGGCTTCAGTTTACAGTGCAATATGAAATTACTCAAGCTATTGTTTAAGGTTGCATTAAAAAGGTGGATATTTGACTAACATTGGACAGCAACTGCACACTGACTATACGTGCTGCAAAGAAAGATAAAAAGATAAAAATCTAGCAACTTAAGGAAACCTTATCTCATGAGCAAAGAAAAAAAAAATTGCCTATCCCAAACATTTCTTCGATTGTGACGGCCAAACACAAAGGCAGTTGAACAACACTGTTTTCAGCAACTCTCCTTCGACCCTTCAACTGAGTAAAGCCATTAGTTACTTCATTAAATATACTTCTGAAATAGGAGCTTTAAAAATCATACAGAGTAAAAGTGCTTTCAAATATATTAAATTGGTTATTTCATGTTTATTCTTCTGAACTAGTAAAGCAACCGGCCTTGGAACAATTTCTATGACGCGCGTTTCTGGGAAACTGCACCGTCTTTTTACTTCTGAAATCCAAAAGCCTTGACAGAGCAAAAGAAAAAAACCCTGTCACGATGAAATGATGAGTCATGCTTATGACAACCTCTAGGAGTATTTCAGAATGTTACAATTCAATCATAATGTTTGTAACATGCCTTCAAGCAATGTTCTTTATCAAGAGTACTACTGTAAATATTACAGGCTTTATGTCTTCTATTGCATCCAAAATAATTGATACCTGCCTCTCTATAGAAAAATAAAATCACTTCTGTACATCCAGCCTATGACTGGAGTGAGAGGTCTGCCATGAAAACAAGACCAACATTTCCATAAACACACAGTTGCGAGGACTAAATGATTTACAGACAGTAAGGGAACATGTCCATGAAACACACGCTCACATTCACACACACTTGCCCGCATGCAAATCTGCCACACACACATTTCTTCTGAATGTCTCTGAAAGACAGGGAGGTACACAGTAATCACAGAACAAGTCACAAGGGAAGTTAAGTTTCGCATCGTTCAGACTCCTCCATTTCCTTTGCCAAAAATAAATGTGACTGAACTTTCCTGTCAAGTTATTAGATGTCAGGTTGTGTGTGTGACCCTTTGAGCCTCTGCCCCTTAGTGACCTCATCACGTAACCAAAAAAACGTGCCTAAAAAAGAAAAATGACAGAAGAATGATTAAAAATCACATCCACCCAATTTTCCTTTTGGAAAGCATGTAAGTACGACACTACGGATGGACAAGTACTGAGGTACTGCAGATGTGTTTCAGGAAGAGCTTGGAGTGGAGTCTGCGTTTCCCGGCACATCTCACTTTGAGGAAGCAACAGTAGTAGCACACTGGGGTAATATTACTAAAGCCCGGGAACAACAAAGGACATGGCGAAGAGAAGCAGAACGTCAGGGCTCCACCTCAGAGGCCGCATCGCATCTGTAACAAAATACTTGGAGTGAATATGGCTTCCGGAACTCTTCGGAAATGCTTATTCACAAATATGCCTAAAGTTAGATAAGAAGATCAATACCAATCCCACGTCTGTCCAATAAAAGAGTGAGCAAAAGCTTTGACACTTAGGCTTAGCTTTGCATCGGGAAAAACTAGCCTGACTCTTTCCAAAGGCGACAAAAAAAGGTCTTGTTTTTACACCTTTTTTTTTTCATACTAAACAACAAAAAATGTAACTTTTTAATCAGTGAGGTTTCGAGGTGCTAGTGTGCGGATGTGTGTTGCCTTTGGAAAGGGTCCTGCTAAAAGTGTACCTCTTGTTTCAAGCCTTTACTCTCAGCTTTATGTTGATTGTACATGAAGGTTAATGATCTTCTAATCTAACTTTCTGCATGAAAGCAAATAAGTGTACTTTACCGGAATGCCACAATATTAACTTATTTTATTCAAAGGTTCTGTGTGTAATTGTTGGGCCTCTTGCAGGGATGAGAAGGGATGGCTGGAGTGTCTCCTGTATGTGCACACGGACAGAAACATTTAACATAAGGGAAGGGTGAAGATGGAGCAAAGCCTCTAGAGGGTTTTCTTTTCTTTTTTTTAAGCAGAGCTCTTCACATTAACCAGCAAACACTTGGGGTGTCAGCGGGGGGGGCAGATGCTCATTCTCCACGTTATCAGAGTCGATGGCTGACGCCGCTGAAACAGCCGTCCCACTCGCGGTGGGAGGAGCAGGGGTTTCTGTCTCTGGGGGAAAGCTCTCCAGAACGCTCTGCACCTTCTGCTCCACTTCATCTGTCCAGTCGATGAGGTCGCTCTCCAGCTGGCGGGCCTCCTCCAGGACCCTCTCCTGCCTCTCCCCCAGCCCAGTGAGCAGGTCCAGCCCCTTGTGGACCTGACTGAGAGCGGCGCTGCCCGGGGAGCTGGAGGACGCTCCGCCCGGCTGTGACCAGGGGGGGGAGGCCTGGCCCGACATGTAGTGGTCAAACTCCTCAGAGCTCAGGTTCAGAGACTGGCCGTCCAGCTTCTCGATGAAGGCCACCGCACAGCACTGANACTTTTGAATGCATACAGTACATTAATTCCAAGTCAAGTGCATTTTATTTGCACCTTGGCTTTGTTCTGAATGCACTTTGTTGTAGTTATCCTACAGAGAAAATAAAATGCACTTGACTTGGAATTAATGTACTGTATGCATTCAAAAGTGCTGAATAAATGTTTTATGGACCCATAATAGTGATTATTATTTAAGTTAAGTTTTGCCATAATCATTTATTTTTCCATAATCAGGCAGCTGAACAACATTGGTAAAAAATGTATACATTATATATATATATATTTCTATTAATCATTTTCGGCCTTTCGGCATTCGGTTTTCGGCCAACTGTTTCCTATTTTCGGTATCGGTTTCGGCCAAGAATTTCCCATTCGGTGCACCCCTACCCATTTGTGTCCCCCCCACTTTTTAAATGTGTTTATTTTTATTTTTTTGCGCAAGCAGTCATCGTCACGGAGGAGCGTCTGTGTGGCACGAACGCATCTTGTGAGAGAGAGATAGAAAGAGAGAGAGACAGAGAGAGAGAGACATAGAGAGTTACGGCGGTTGTTGCTAGCTCGAAGCTAACGGAGATTAGTAGCTGTTTCAACAATAACGAGAGGGAGAGCTCTTTCCTGTCGGACTTTGAGAGATAACGTCAGCTCAGGGAGGTAAGGGACTCTGAGTGATTAGGTTGTAAACTTTAGTCTAAGTTATCTCAGTGGGTCTCAAACGGTTTGGTCATCTATGTAAACAAATATTTCCATCTATGTAATATTAGTTTAGTAGTATATAAAATAAGTTAAGAAATCCATCCAATGTGTACTATAGGTCAGTACAAAAATAAAAAACACAGTTTCAAAGGGGAGTGATTAGTCAAATATTCATATATAAAAAGAAAGAATGCAGACTAGGTAAGATAAAGATAGGAGAGAGGAGTTTATCAATTATGTGTTATTGGTTGTGAGAATATTCTAATGTTTTTTGATTATTTAAATACATACAGTTCTGTTTCATATGAGTGTTGAGAACTGTATCCATAAATCTCTTAATGTTGCCCTCGAAGTGCACCAGATTGATGCATTCAACTTCAATTTAAAGAAAAAAATCTTCCAGGGGTGCATGCCCCCGGGCCCCCTATGGGATGTGAGGTCATCACAAATAAAACAGGTTCACATGGATAGGATACTAGATAAGCACACTCATTATATACACTACACATTTTTCTTGGATTTGTTAACACTATAGTCCCTAATATATTTGTAGAAAAGCAGGAAATGGAATTAAATTGAGAAAATGTTTCATTGCGGAGGACCCCCTGTTTTGTCCCCCCCCCCACTTCTCAAACCAAAGTTAGATCCTTGACCGTAAGTAATAACATGTTCTGTCTGGCATTATTGATCACAACATAATAACGCATCATCCTTCTGCTTGAGTGGATTTAGATTGCATGTATTTCCTCAGGGTAGCACTATAGGTACTTTTTGTTTTAGTAAATGGATGTGAAATGCCTCAAATTAAGCTTTTGAAAAGTAGGAAACTCAGCACCTGACATAATCATTGTTACTGACTGCCAAAGCAATCACACTTGTGAAAATGATGTTAATATTGGATCTTAATGCATCTATAATGATAGACCCAAGCAAAGGTGCGGTTTCAGACATGGTTTAACATTTTGGGAAATGCCCTTTATTTGCTATTTCAGTCTCGTGTCTGTGCATTAATTATGGAGCGAGTGACGTGTACAGATAACTAACATGGTATAACAATGAGTGTTAGGTGTTTTTTTCATGTAGAGACAAGCCAGCTTTTTCCCCCTTGCTCTCAATCTTTATGCTTGATAATCTAAGCATTGTACCAAGCATGCAAACATGAGTGATATCGATTTTCACATCTCTTTCTTCAGGGAATCTAATATTTCGTATCTCCATATATGTCCTACATAACAGCTTAAAGCTGCTTCGCAACATGATGGGGTTTGTTTAAGTCCAGCATGTTGGAAGATAAAAAAAGTTGAGAAAGCCAGTCATTTTATTACCAGATACATCCTCAGTCAGTGCTGAATTACATGTATATTTTCTTTCTCTTTCTCTCTTCAACACACACCCACTTGCACACACCAATGCAAATTCAATTCGACAGTGTTAAAAATCAGCGTTTAATGTGGACACATTCATCGGTGGTCTCAGTCGTATTAGGTGATATCTCCGGGAGGGGATTTATCTGATAAAAGGAGATTGATTTTTAGCTGACACACAGGATAACCTGCATGAAAGTGATAACCCTGGGCTCTCCATCCATATAACGGCAACATGCACCATTTATTCCGTACTGGCATGTATAGAATCAGCTGCTCCTCACTGTCAGGTTGTCACTTCAGGCGCTGCAAAATTACTTTAACTGTAGAGGGCAGAAATACATTCAAATTCACAACATGGCTGTTTAACTTGAGTGTGGGGGCGGATTTTCTCTCTCTGTTTTGCCATCCTATCAGCTTTTGTTCTCATTAAAGTCTATCACAGCTCACTTCCATGTAGTTTGGATTTGCGGTTGTTTGTGAGTGGGTTTTGATAGAGAATTATTTAGAAGGCCATGGAAGAGCACATGGTAAAGAAGCACCAAGGGACGATCATTTTTAGATGGATTCTCTTTAGTCAGCTCTGAGCTTGTCCTTCGTTCACCTATACTTCACATTCAGGCTCAGTGGCCATTTCATTTTCAGCGTCGCTAATTATTTATTTCAAAGCAGACGGGACTTTTGAGAGCAATTAAAGCAGTGGTGCCTATCACTTTTACAATGAAGGACATTTTTAAGTCAGAAAAGCACAAGTTAGCTTTCTTTTTAACGTTTTTATATGCATGTTTGTGTTTTACTCACGCAGCATGGGGTGGGTTACGTAGTTTAGTAAACAGTATGAATTCTTCCATAGTTCACTCTCCCTAGTGGGATGAAAGAAAGAGCCAGTATGTCACTAATTGCAGTGTTGGCATTACAGGATTAGAGAGAGAGAGAGTGCAAACGAAGAGAGGGAGTGCAAACGAAGGACAGCATTGTGTGGGAGTGCATGAATATGTATGTGTGTGTTGCAAGCCTGCACAGGATGATGTACCTCTTCTCCTTCATGGATTTTGAGGACCCACACAGAGATGAGAGGGGAGTTTGGTGTTATCTGTTCTCCGAGGGAGAGAGGACTTCACTGTGAGACTGAAATGCCAAAGGCCTATCAGAACTAGACACCTGCTACAGACCTTTTACATCACGTTGTCAATCCAATTCTCAGCGAATGTATAAAAAGACACAACAGGCGCTTATGGAGAAAAAACTAAATGCATACATCTTTAGAATTATAAGAGCGGCTTCAATCATAAATATTTATGTAACTACTTATATGTAAAAGGGCACAGCCCTAATGATGAATAAATAGAATTATCACTCGGTTTATCTGCAGTTTCCCTCAGCTTTGCAATGCCTTAAAGTGTCTTTTGGCTCATTGTATGGTATTACATCCTGTACCTTAACTTTTGTCATTTGTTTTCAGCCACAGCAGGCAGCTGTTTTCAGCAATAATAGATTAAAACACGCACTGTACACTCTTCCTATCTTAAAAAAAACATACAGGGAAAAAGTAAGCAAGCAGTTCTTAAACATAGTGGAGAATTTAGCGGCTAAAGAGACAGATATTTGGCTCAGGTGTCTGGTGAAATCCCAAACGGAGCTAAAAGGAGAATGTACGTTGGACTTGCATTCATCAGGTGGTCACAAGTATTACTTTTAATAATGCTTTGTATCTGAAGGATGTGTAAAAAAGCAATAGTTTGCTAATCAAGTTTGCCATCAACTTAAAGAATGGTCATATGTCCGTGCAGTGTTTACTAGCTTCTTTCTGATACACCCCCAGTGGCCAATGAATAATGTATTCATGGTTTAAGGATATAAATCACTTTGCTTATGCGGTTTCACTGGCATGACTGTAAGTGGTACATTTGCTCAGCAGGTTGGTACAGCAGCAAGGTTTTAGTTATACACTGAAACGTACATAAGTTAGTCTGAATTCTGTGAGCTCCAGCAGTTTACACCTCTGCGCTGAGTGTACTGGGAAAGCAAGAGGAATTAAGCTAATGAGAATCAGAAAACAATCCTAATTTATACTGTCCTTCTGTACCTACTCTTGTCAATAGTGGAAAAAGCTGAGGCTCAACATTTTGGCCTTTCCTTGAAGTCAAGTTGAGCAGAAATTGGAAAGCACACAGCAGGCCATGTTTTGCTGGAAAATACTAAAGCTGCACAGAAGAGACCGCAAAGCTTGAGGACTCTCCCGAAAAGTCTTTTGACCTTTTAGTAATCTGTCCCCAGTGGTGAGGTTTGTTTTCCTTGCAGCGAGAGGACAGTCTGGGAGCAACTGAGGAGTGAAACGCCAAATAAACAGACGAATGGGGCTGCTGCCTGTCAAGCAACCTAAATGTTTAGCTCTGGAGTTAGCATCTGTAATTACTTATTTTCCACTGCCCTCATTTTCCGTTTTAATAATCTGTCTTATTGTGAAAATATCTTCTCCTTTTTTAAGATTAGAACATTTATGAGGTTAGAGAGAACATGCACTTCTCTGGTTTTATACGCGTTTGTTTCTGTGTGACAGGATTATGTGTGTGTTTTCCGGCGGGATGCAGTGCCAGATAAGAACTCCTTCTTTACTCAGCATGCCGTCCCTTCCTGCCGGCAGAGCCTGCTTAATAATTTAACTCCCTCTCTGTCAAACCCTCCTGCTAACCTCCCCTGACTAAATATACACGCACCTCCCGGGAGAAGGAAGCCACAAGGTCATTGTTCACTTCATATATGTGTATGTTGAGTATTTTTGGAGCAGGTCTTGTTTAGAAAGTTGTCTGCAAAGTTGGAGCTTCCTGCTGTTTGGCTGCTCTTAGTCCTCCTCCTTCTTCTCCCTGTGGGGTGGTTTGAACTGACGTGGGGATGAAAGGTGGGTTTGGTAGGAGCCGTTTTGTTTGGTTGCTAAATCCCCCTCTTGTCACCCCACATCACCCTGTTTTCTCTTTTCACTTATTTTGACCTCCTACTTCCATCTCCTCCATTCCCTTAGGGGGTTGGCAGAGAATGAATGGGCCACATACATGCCATCTTTGAGGCTGTGTCAACCTGCTGCCCCCCCCCCATTATAGCCTGTCCCCAGACCCCACTGTGTCCACACTTGCCTTGGCTGCAACACTTAGCCCATGTTGTGAGTTCCCTAGATGCCAAGCATGCTGATTGTGTTGGAAGTGTAGGTTTGAAATCCAATTCTAGACATTGCAAAGCTACAAGTCTTGCCCTGAATGTACAATTCTCGCCCACAGCAGTACTATATTTCTCCAATACACAGCTATTAGATTGTACAATCGTATGTGTGTTTTTGGCTTGTAGCTGATTAGAAGCCCCTAAATCAAATCACATGGGTGGAATTGCATGGGCTGCTCGGTCTAATCTACTATTGGTTTTGAAAGCGAGACATTCTTCACATGGAAGGCAGTTATGTAAAATGCCGAATTCAAACAATGTTGCACTACTTTTGAGTATATTCTAAAATGTCAATCTGACTATAGGAGCCTCAGTCTGCATGTCAGCGGCAGCTCCACAATTGTTTGTCTGTCTATAATTTAGAAAATAGATGAGTCAGTTGGAGTTTGCCTGCTCGCTGTCTTGGCAGTGAAGGGAGGCAGGAGAAAAATGTTGGCTGAGGGGAGGTAGCAAGTCGCAGCTGCTCAGAGCAAGCAACATTGGTGTGATTGTGTGCAAAAAAGAGACAGGGACGGGTTTTTTCTATAACGGTCACGGTTGTGACTCTTTCCCTCTTCTTGTTGGCCAGATGGGCCTGTGGGCAGGGCAGGTGCATCCTGGTAAATGGATACAGGCCTCCTGGTTGTGTCTGTTTGTCACTTTAGATATCTACAAGTTAGACACAACCGATTAGATTAATTCAATCTAAGTTCTCTCAGATATAACGTCCTTTTTCTAATGTTAAGTTACACTCCGTCTGCCGCACACATGTGCTGCACAGTCTTCCAGACATCAAACCATCCAGACAGGAGGAATGCAGCCAATATGAATGTTTGATATTTGCACATGGTTTCTATTCACAGTGAACTACAAACCTTCAATTACAACCTTTTTGCGACCCAACCCTGAGCCAGGTTATCTTTAATTCAAATCGTAAGGAAGGCTTACGGGAAGAGAGACGAAAAGCATGTTATTAATTAAAGCTCCTGATTAAAATTGGGAGGAAGAGGTGTGTGTGTGTGTGTGTGTGTGTGTGTGTGTGTGTGTGTGTGTGTGTGTGTGTGTGTGTGTGTGTGTGTGTGTGTGTGTGTGT